CGACAAACTGCAACCACCAAAGCATTTTTTAATGGCCAGTGACAGTCCTAAGCCTTTTCAAATAAGAAACATCGCGGTAGACTTCCAACTAAACCAGTTGTCAGGCCGTTTCCGGGGCAGACCCTCAACCTAAAGGTTAAACTCTTCGCCTCTCATTCAATAGGTCCCGGGTTCGAAACCAGACAGTGACGGAAATTTTCTCGTCTAAAATTGTCTTCTTTCACATCATTTCCTGCTCTCTAACAATGTTCTGTCGTCTGCTTCCATCTCCACTTTCTTTCCCCACTCCCTCACCTCCTTTGCCCTCGCCTCTGGGCTCCCGACTCTTTCTGCAGACTTTCTACTGCTACTCCTTGGCTCCTTCTTACTGCTGTCTTTCAAACACACCCCTGATCTTACGGTAGGTAAGATGTACACGTAGCTTTCTCGGACAAGGGCGAAAAATCTCGGGGGTCCCGTGGTCCAAAATCGATAAGAGTAGGCTTCGGCCGCCATCCGGGCAACATTTCTCGTGCACTCATATGGCCTTATGCAGTTGCGAGTGCTTGTTAAACACTTACCCCCCCCCCCCCCAAAAAAAAAAGACCCTCCACTGAACCAGAAACGACACGGCAGACCTTCAACCAAACCAGAAAAAATACGGTAGATCTTCAACTAAGCAGCACCTATTTTTTTTTTTCTCACTTAGGCGGCGACAGCCAGTACATTTTGCAGAAGACAGATGTAACCGTCATCAGCAACAGACTGTGCCGTAACTTCTGGCGAGTGGCACGACTCTCCGTCTCCAAGAGACAAGTGTGCACCCTTGACTGGCCTTACAAACTCAGCTCTGCCTGCTATGTAAGTCTTGATTTTGAATTATTTCGAAAGCCATTGTAAATGAAACTTCTGGGGATAATCACATTTTGTTTGGGGGGTTCCCGTGGTCTCTTGAGGTACGGTGTTCGCCTCTCAATGAATACCCCCGGTAGGTCCCGGGCTCGAAACTTGACAGCGACGGAAACATTTCTTCTATAAAAATGTTTCCTTTTATCCTCTGTCCTGCTCTCTAATTATGTTTGTCATCTGCTTTCAACTCCATTTTCTGCCCCCCCCCCCCCACTGCATCCACCTCTTCCTCTGGGCTCCTGACTCTTTCTACTGCTACTCCGGCTCCTTCTTACTGCTGTGTTTCATCCACACACCCTGATCTTAGAGTAGGTAAGATCTAACAACTAGCCATCTAGGATAAGGGAGAAAACATCTCTGAGGTTCTGTGTGCAAGTTTCGCACGTTAAACATCCATTGGTAGTCCTAAAATCGACAATAGTAGGCTTCGGTCTCCACCCGGGCAAAATTTGAAATTAATTCATACCAAACTGAAAAAGCTTAAGCTGTCCCGAGCGCCGTAAAGCACCTGCCAAAAGAAAACAGAATTTAGTTGATTGGTGAAATCAAGATTTAGAACATTATATCTTAAAAGTTTCTAAGATAAATTTCTGATCTAATCGTTTTCAACATCAGGGTTTTTATGAAGACGTTT